CGAGGTTAAAAGAGCAGCTTTATCCTGCACCACTGCGCCCAGAAACGGCCTTTCTCTCCTCTTACTGGGTGTCGTGCCTGCATGCCTGCCTTTGCGTCTGAGAATGCGAAGATTTCTTTTGTCGTGGGTTCAGAGCTGGATTTCTCTGGCTCTTCTATCCCGCTTCACTCGGTAATGGCAGCCAATGCATGCCTGTGTAAGTAGCTGTAATCGAAACAGGAAACTCAGTCAAAAAGAGAAAAATTCCCATATATGCCTACACACGAACAAAACTATTTGCTTTAATTCTGTATTTTAAGTTAATACAATTTTTATTCAAACTTATAAGTCTTCCCTAGCTATGGCAGTTTCCTGTACTGTACTGAATAAAATGGAAGAGAGCATGGCATTTCAGGTTGGTGCAAGCAGGCCCTCAGACAGATAAAGGAAAAAACCCATCTTGTGGGTAAATTTCCACACTACTGTGTTACCCTACAGAGTGAAAACCAGACAGTTTAATGTACTCTTGGGGAAAACAAACAAGCAACACCCCAGAAAAAAAACACCAACCAACCAAACCCACCGGCTAAACCCTGAAAAAAAAAAAAATCCCACCAACACCCACTTCTGAAAAAAGAAATGGCAAAAAAATGAAATAGCACCATAAAAGATTTTGGAATTGTTAAAGCAAAAGTCTCATGGTGAAAGAGCAAGAAGAAATACCTATGCCAGTAAATTCTCCTTCCATTTTTAAATGTTTGTGATGACGTTATTTAAGCAGAATACCACTGAATGGTATGGCTCACCTTTCCAAAATGCATCTTCCGACAAGCATGAGGAAAAAGTCATCAAGAAATCCTGAGTGGAAGTCAAAAGACAAGTGATGTAGTAAGGCTCCTAGGAAATGTGCCATGACATGCCACTAACATCTGGGATGAATATTTACAAATATACAATTTAAGAAGGAAAAACAAACTAATTTGAGAAAATGTAGTGATACTGTAAAGAAAAAACATGGAAGTATGCTGAACCAGCTCTTTCAACATCATATGCTCGGGGTCAGGGATTCAAAATCATCTGTGTTCTTCCATAGTAAGGAAAACTTGAAGCAGAAAGCAAAGCAAGAAAAAGAACATGATAGCGAGCCAAACAAAGCATTTAAGAATGTCTGTGATTGCTCCATCAGCAACTACAGAACAGCAGCTACCTCAAACCATGAAAGCATTCAAAGAAAACTTACCTACAAGTGGCTTTCTAGATTTCACATGGGCAAAAGGAAATTTGCCTGTAAGAATATTTTGCTTTTAGTTGACCACATCAAACATATGAGAATGAGAAAGATTTACAGGAAATACCATCAGCTTGAAGTTTGAGAATCAAAACATTCAAGCAGAGCATATGGAAATCAGTCTTAAGAAAAGAGTGAATAAAAAGGGTGGGTTTCTTGGAGAAACATTCCAAGATTTATTACTGGAAATTGTGACACTGCAAAATGACATGGGAATCCAGAATACCCTTCCAAAGAAAAGTGAGACGGCAAGGAAAATCTTATTTGGGAGTCTCACTTGGCAAGATAATGTTCTCAGGTTGTGATGAAGAAAAATAATAGAGTCATTAGTAGTAATAATGGTAGCAATGATAATAATAGTAATGTTCTTGCAATATCTTTATTGCATCTTTCACTTTAATGTGTTAACCAACATTAAATGTGTTTTCACATTGGTTACAGGTGTTACATAGCTTTTCTGGCTTTGGTTATTTGCAAAATAAGGAGTTGCACACTGTGCAATCTTAATCAGAATTAATTGATGTGATAAACTAACAGATTATGCAAAAAGACCAGACCATTGCAAGAAAAAAATTGCTTTGATGGAAAATGTGGTTTTGCTATCAGAATAACAAGATTCTGTTGCATTTCAGAGATGTAAAAGTATGGGAAAGAAAAAGTATGTAGTATTTAAAAAAATGAAAATATTTTCAAGTGTATTTTTTCTAATGTGGTTAGTCAACATTAACTACAGTATAATAGCTACAGTGAGTGAGAGCAACCGTTCTGAAGGTTCACAGAGTTCTTTCCTAGGTTTGTTTTATCTACTGTTCCTTTTTTATTATTAGTGTGTCAGTTTGCTTTGCCATAACCTAAATTTTGAAAGCCCTGTCACATGTGAGATTTCAGCTTCTATTAGTGTTCTGCTTTATTGCAGGTAGATTTCATGACAAGACACATACAGATTCCATGAACCTGGATTTGTGGGTAAATCCAGAAGTAATGGCTTATACAGTAATCATACCTAAAAATAAAACCACCACTCAAATGCAGCTAATTTCATATGAACCTTTTTAGTCATTTTTCAGGAATTTTGTGGGACTTTTGGATAAGTAACATGCATTTATATAATCAATTTATGGAGTTTTCATTTGGAAATGATGGAAGTTTCCACAGGAACCTGTTTAAACCTTTATTTCCTTCATCCTATCTCAAGTTTATGTATAAGTTTAACTATGCTAAATACCATTCTGCTAGCTGGTTATTAGTAGACCACTTTGATTTTTCAGTGCTTTCTTTTTAAAATTATTAAGTCTTTCCTGGTCTGTTAACAGCAAATAGCATTATTTCATAGTACGGTTCTTAGTTTTCTGAGGTCTGTCTGCATGGGTGTGTGGTGTGGTATCTCTGAATTTTAGTTTTAACTCATACATACAGAACAGGGCCATCAGGACAGGTCATTCCAGCTATCTTGGTTTAGATGATTGTTAGATAACCTAATATACTTTAGCAAAGCTACTTATTAGCATTAAAGATGGGGTATGTAAGTCACCTACTTAGGTGTCTTGCCTTTTGTCAGAGACATTTGGAACAATGATTTTCAAATGCTTTCCTGTGATTTTAGCCATTCTGTAGGTTAAAAACTGTTTTCATAGCACTTGAGGAGGGTGGGGAAAAGGGAGAGGTAAGGTAAAACTCCTATTTATTTATTTATTTATTTACTTTTGTTCTTTAAAAGCATTGAGTAGGAAAAAACATTATCTCTTCAATGGTTATTTATTGCATTGAGACTTTATAAAGTGAGTAGTTCATACAGCAGCTCAAATTGATTCTGAGTAAGTCACACTTTTTCCTGTGTTCGTCCATTCATTCACAGACTGCTGTGATATCAAAGCAAGACGGTAAGAAAAAAACTCAACATATTGAGTATACATTCAGGATGTTAATTAAGTCTTCTATTGTTACAGGTATTTCATTGTTTTATGTAGTGTTAAATTCTAGCAAATTTTTTTTTAAAAAAGGTGACAGCAAAAAAAACCAAAACAACCCTTTGTGTTGTGTATTGCAAAAGTAACAAACCTATAGATTTCTGTTTCAGTGGCTGTGAGATTTTGTAAATGTATAAGTGTTTTTGGAGGATAACCTGGGTTAAGCAGTAGTAGTCATTTTTCTCCTTCTTAGTAGCTGGTACAGCGCTGTGGTTTTGACTTTCGGCCTGGGAACAGCGCTGATAACACCAATGTTTTTAGTTGTTGCTAAGTAATGTTTAGTCTGACCAAGGACTTTCTGAGTCTCATGCTCTGCCAGGGAGGAGGGGAAGCCAGGAGGAAGCAGAGACAGGATATCTGACCCAAACCAACCAAAGAGGTATTCCATACCACAGCACGTCATGCCCAGTATATAAACTGGGAGCAGTTACCCAGAAGGGTTAGATCACTGCTCGGGTCGGGCTGGGTATCAGTCAGCTGGTGATGAGCAGTTGTGTTCTCTTCCCTTGTTATTTCCCTTACTATTATTGGTGGTAGCTGCAGTGTTTTGTGTTATACCTTAGTTACTGGACTGTTCTTATCTGAACCCGTGGGAGTTACATTCTTTCGATTCTCCTCCCCATCCCTCTGGGAGCAGGGGGAAGGACAGGGGGAGTGAGAGACTAGTGATTCCGAGTTACTGACTGGACTTAAACCACAACAGAGGGTGTGGAAGGTGACTTCTTGACCCAATTGGTGCGTAAGCTACATAGGGGAGATGCCTGGCTAGATTTGCTGTTCACAGATGGAGAAGGACTGGTGGATACTGTGATGGTTGGAGGCTATCTTGGGCAAAGCAGAACAAATGGCTGTTTCGAAGAATGTTTTTTTCAGAGGTAGTTGAAACTTCCTTAACAATATGATTATGCATGTTTTTTAATGTAAACTAATTATTTATTTTGCATTATTCCTTGATAGTATTACTATTAATGAGCAGACCAGAAGCAAACATATTCCACGTCCTAGTTTCAAGTATTTCTGGTTATTTTAAGAATTACTATAGGTTACAGTGTCTCTCAATTGCTTTTATTTGAAAATAATGAAGTTGTTGAAAAGAATAGTTCCAACAGGAAGGACTTGTGAGCTTTTTAACTTACAAAATGGTGTTTCATTTTCTTCTTAAAAGTTATGTCAGTACAGGAGCTGGACCAGTATTTAGAGGTATTTCCCTGCTCCCCCCACAGAGAGACACCAGCAAAGTAACTCCACTGGAACACCTGGCTGTTTAACTGAATTTACAGCGATTTTGTTACATCCAAATTCATTTTTATAGAGTGCAGGGCACTGTTGTTTCAAGAAAAGCTTGCACATACTAACAGTTAAGCTGCCTGAAATTTTCTGCAGTTTTTCTTCAAAAAAGTATTAATGTTTATTCAGAGGTATGTAATCAAAATATGTACAACTTCATGTGTGTTCTCACATATTTGACTCGGTTTTTACATGTGCTGTTAGTCAAAAGTTATTTGCAGATGCTACACATGTATTTGATTTGAAAATACTTGGAATTTGTAGTGGTTAAGAATGTGGGGTCCATGTCAAAATACTATCGTCTCTCAGAGTAAATAATATTTTTATGATCAGGTAAGTTTCTAGTTTAGACAACTATTTTCTTACCTAATGACTGACATACATAAATATGAAACTTCTCACCTGCAGTAACAGCAGCTATTATGACAAGACCAGTGAAAACAGAAGTACAAGAATTACAGAAATAAATGGAGACAGAGTAAGTTTATTGGAAGTTTTTTAATCTGAAGTTTCACATATTAAGATTTGAAATATAGAGCTCTCTCTTCACAGCATAATGAGTAGAATCAACTTTTTTGTTAATACTTTAATGTGGTCAGTTAGAATTTTGTGTCAGTCTCAGGCTTGTATTTCAGTCATTTGGTCTTCAAGGCTTTGTAGTAAAGCTCCTGACAAAACAGCAGTATTCTCAAGGCTTGTTGCAGACTGGCTCAGCTATGGAAAACTTAATATGAAATGCTGTTTGTTGAAAATATAAAATACAGACATTTGATAGCTATTTATACTTTTTTTTTTCTTTTTTTTCCTACGGACATAACTTGTATCAGTAAAGTACTAGTGGCTTTGGGACCCAACTTGCTAAAACACAGCTTGAATTGCCTGGTACAATATAAGAGATGACAACTTACTGAATTGTTGGGAGAAAGACAGTTTTTCATCTGACTTAAAACAGGTAAGTTCACTAGGATCCTAAGGAGGTTTATTAGGTTTTTGTTATGGGTGAATCTATCCATGGGAATTTAAGCTCTTGCTTGCCAGCAGCAGTGCAGTGAAGCTTAATGCACGTTACCTGTTCTTTTAAGAAAACAGTACTAGGTTCTGGTAAGTCCTGGTGAACATGAATACAGTATAAATAAAAATATGTACAATAACTTCAGATTTTTTAATGTGGTTCTTCAAACTTAACCCGTACTGTTGTAACTTGAGACTTTTATTGCATAGTAAGAGATCCTCAGATGAACTGCTAAAATGACAACAATAAATGGAGATGCAAACCCACAAATTTGTATTAAGAATGTAGACAAATGCAAGAGTATGAGTCACATTTCCAAGTACCTTAACTTCTTTGGGAAACACACAGTATTAAAACTGCATGAAATATTATGCATAGCTAACTTTCGGCAAGTATGACAGCACAGCAAATGATAAAAATGCCTTTTGGATGTATGAAAAGAGAAACATATATCTCCATAAACAATTAATTTGTGCAGTTTCAAATTTAGACTTGGAAGTGGAAGATTTCTCCTCACTAAAATAATTCAGGTGATAATGAAAAGACAGATTGTTTCAGCAAGATCCCCATCAAAACCCAAGCCTGAATTCAGAAAGGCACATGGAGTGCAGCAATATGAGCTGAAAATACAGCACACAGTAAGATTACAGCAGGAACTCTCTTAAGAAATATTCTGAAAGGTAGATAAGCATTCAGCTATTCTCTACATACAGTTTTCCCTATGGTCAGAAAGGGAGGCACGCTGCATTTCATTATGCCAACAAAATAGTTAATGAAATAGGGCCACTTCAATGGCATTTTCAAGTATATCTCATATTACTGTATCTTAACCATACAAACTAAAGCAGCAAATAAAAATCACATTTTCCTTCTTTGAAGCACAGGAGAGGTATGATTGTTTGGTATTTATTTAGAATTCCCAGTCTGTATCATCTTGATTTGCAGTAATATGTCCAAGTTCAGTCCCAACTGTTGCTGAGGGCAGTGCCAAGAACTCTGATCTGTTATTTTGAATAGGAGGTGGTAATAGAGACAGTAGTGAATTCTGCGTTTGTTCTTTTATCTAGAAAGAAGAAAAGTTAAAACAAGGCTGCACATAAAAGTCGACATAACCTTGCATGTGGCTTCATTAAAAGCATGTCAAAATCGCAGGCATGTTCTTGCATGTTACAATACTGAAAATAATAGGATGACGGTTTTAGTTTTCTTCACTCTAGAGTAAGTTGAATTAGTCTTTGAAGACTAATTACAATAGCTATGGAGTTTTTCTGCTTTAAATCAAGAATATTAACCATTATTCTTATTAGTTAGACTGTCTTTAGTTAAAGCAACTTTATCAAAGGGGAAATGGATTACTTATGCTTGCCATACTCTACCAAATACCATTTTGTTTAAGAAAAAAAAAAGTAGTCTGAAACAGATATGCTGTTACAGGATGGTTTTTGGCTCCAGCTAACTTATTTTTTTTGTAATCCAACTCTTAATATTTTGTGGCTTATTTAGGCTATAGCTATGTCATTTAACAAAATATAGTAAACTCACCTGTCTGAAGAACGTATGCGAAAGCAAACTGCTTGCTGATGGCCTGGATCATAAAATGAACAATATAATTATGTTTTTGAAATTAAATTCTGCTTCTGGAAAATGGGCCAGTCTCACAGATCAATTTAAGCCCTGTGTATTTTCATCCACAGGACAAATGTGAAGCATGAGAAAAGCAGCACAGGATTCCAACATTCTATGCCTCAATTTGTAGTGAACACACTACTAAAGAAACTATTTCAAAAGGCTTTAATGCCTCATTCGAAAGAGACATAGTACTGAAAACATATACTTCAGATTTCTGTTTTCTTCTTGGATAAAGTACGTGCTTAAAAATTAATTCTACTTGTTACAGAGTACACTTATATTACAAGAACTTCAGGAGTCAAACAACTTTAAAAGCATGGTTCCTTTAACAGACAAGGTAATTCTTAAATTACAAAAGCAAAGGTAAGTGTAGTGTTTTGCATAGTACTTTCTGGTCTGAAATTCTGACTTGAATGGTATTCAACTAACTACTGTACCCTAACTGTGCTTAGTCTTAGATCGAAACTACAGAAAATTAGTTTTCACCAGAATGTTACCTTTTCTCAGGGTCCTGTTGCAAGCAGAGTTCCACCAAGTTGTGGAAAGCAGGTGAAAACGTTTTGGAAAAGTGAATTTGTAGTCTTTCACTGGTCATTGTGTGTGTCATGCTCTCACCAATTCCAGAATCAACACCTGACCGGGAATTCTTTATCCTGGATTCCCCACGAGGAAATGTATTTATATCCCAAGGAGAGTATGTGGGACCTTTCAGCTTTTGCAGCAGCATCTAGTAGAAAGGAATAGCAGTATAAGAGTTCAAAAGCTATCCCGACCTATTCAGGCTAAGATGTGAAACTCCAGTAATGGAAAAAATTATTTAGTCTAAAAAGCAGCATGTGTACTTGAAGTAACAAAAACCAGCCACCATTTCAGCAGGAATACTACTGGTTTCTCTGAGTAAGACAAAAAAAGTTCAGTGTTTTGAAGCAGAATTTAGCATCATACCTGAGTGCGAGGCATATCTTGAAATGGAACATGTCCATTGGCTAATTCACATGCTGTAATTCCTACACTGTAAATGTCAGACTTCATGTTATACCCAGATAAATCCTATGAGAGAAAGAGATCTCTACTTGATCACTAATGCCATTGAGCAGTGCTGACAAAAAGACAAGAGTTGCCTTGTTTCAAGGCAAGATTCTAATACCCTGTTATCTATATGGGATTATCTACAGGACGGATTGAAAAATGAAGTGCAATTTATACTAACCTGTCTCAGTAGTTCAGGACTCAGCCAAGGAAGCACAGATGTACTAAACTGGGGGAAATCATATACCACCTTTGACTTTTGTCCATTGTTGACTAAACTGTAGAGGTTGTTTAACCCAGAGAGAGAAACCAGCCCATCCCGTGAAATCAGAATGTGGCTAGCTTTAATATTCCTGTAACATAAAGTGGTAAATTTTAGTTATAGGAATTACTCAAAGCATTACTAGAGTAGAAAGACTTTCATATTTCATTAACTTATAATAAGATGTTAGTGTGCAGCTCTATTTAGCAGATTATGTTCCTAGAAGTTCTTCACTCAGTATGAGTTATCTTTTTAATACAGCCGCAAGAAAGAGCGGAGATTGGAGAGGTAAGAGGAGGGAGCAAAGGCAACCAGAAGAAAGGGCCCTCTTTCCCTGCAAAGGGTGTAAAGTAAGGAAACCCTTTCTACAACTCTGATTCTCTTCTGCTTCAAAGAGACAAAGCCAAACAGATGTATAATCCCTGTAGCAACTGGATTTAAATAATGTATGAATACTGTTCTTGCTAAGCTTCTACAAACTTGGTTCTGCTCTATTATTGAAAAAAGAAAACAGAAAAGGTTCTGCACTGTCTGACATAAGAAGGTAAATAGAAAAAGGAAGGAGACAACACTAGCTGAAAATGAGTTTTGAAGCAAATCTAAATTCTTAATAAACTCGATGCTGTAATCTGTTTCTTACCTATTGACATTCTCCTACCTGTGAATGTAGCCATTCTGGTGCATGTAATTTAATCCTCTGATTGCACCAAATAGAATGTTCCCTATCAAAGCTTCACTCATCCCTTCAGGAAAATAGGTCTTCAGCAGGTGTCTAGCTGAACCTGGAAGTGAAAAAAAACTAGCTAAACCTAACAAGTCTTGTTAAATTACTCCTTTGTGCTTGCTTCATTGTATACATTCATCAAGAGTGGCATTCTCATTGTTACTTTGACTGTGGGACATCAAGAACAGTTACATGCATCCATCAGGCAAAGATCAATTCCAGTCATCATCAAACCTGTATTCAATATAGACAAGTTTTCTGTTGGCAAAATCCAAAGTTGCATAAAGTTAAATAAGTTTCCCAGTTACCATTCCTCATGTGGTGGGTGTTAGGACTAAGTGCAATTTAATGCAGTTCGAATACCAGTCTTCACTGGGAAAGAAGATTTTATACAGAAGGCTTCTCTAAAAAGTGGTTTGGGAAAGCTTGTTTTTTCTACAAGACTGGAGATGCTTTAAGAAAAACCTGTCATGGACCATGTGGCCAAAATTGTATCCACCTTTTTTACTATTCCAAAATTGCAATTAACAGTTCTTACCATAGGCCATGAATGGGGAGATGACCCAAAGCCAACTACCAGCTGTAAACACTGTCCAAAGCGTCATTACATTGGGATGCTGGAAAAAGTGGGATAAAACCACTTCATTCTATGAAATTAAATGAAAGTGGATTTGTTAATCACAAGACAACAGTCTTAAGAGCATTAACTACATCAATAATCAGTAGAAAGAACTGTTCCCTGTGTGAATTTATACAAAGTTGCAGGTGATGTACATAGCCTGCAATAGAAAAGTAAGTAACTTGCCTGTAATTGCATTTGTCTGAAGTAAATCTAGTTTGCTCATAGTCCAAAGTTTTAGTGTAAATACAGAGTACAGAACATGTTTCAAAGAAAAGGTTGTACAATTACAGAAGTATTTCTAAAACATTTGTCAGCTGTTTTCTTCAGAAAGCAACTCTCAAATTTACACATGCCTTGTGTTTATATTCTACTCCTTTGGAGGAAAAACTTGACTGAAATAAGACAGCACAAACACAAAGGCTACATCTGTTTAGTAACCTCATATAAATTCATCACTGTCTTCACCAGACTTGTGCAGAAATGCTGTTGCTTTACCTGTAAGGCTTTCAAATGCTCTTCAGAGCAATTTTCTAGGTCTGTGATCCTTACAGCAACTTGCATGCCTGTAGGCGTATGCCGTGCAAGGTAGATTGAAGTTAAGTTGTTGAACCTCCTTCCTGAAACCAGAAGTGGCTACCTTAACACTGGAAAATATAATAATCCACCACAATTTCCTTCATATTTAGAGAAAATTTTATATTCCTAAAACTGCAATTGATAGCAGCATTGCCTTTTCTTTAAGAATGTTGAGAACTTAAGTAGTTGCAGCAGAATATATCCAGCAAAATTAAAGCATGGCTCTGCTATTCTTACAACTTAAAAGTGTTGAAACACTTTTCAGTATCAATTACACATCTAAATGAACAACACTTTTAGCATGCATATTCACATAAACATATGCATGCACAGTAGGATTGAGGGCAGCTGCCCTTAGGACAATCACCTCAGGTAGCCAAGTGACAAGACATGATGTTACTTAATGCTGTATTTATTGTCCACATAATACAGATTTAGAAAATTGACATGCACAAAAATCAAGAGAAAAAAAAAGGTAATTACTGATTTTTACTGATATCTTAAAATAGGGATCGCAAATATGAGAAATGTTCTGCACTTTTCTCAACTAAAGAGACATAAGAATAGTTCTAGTCAGCTGATAATACATTTTCCAACTTAGTATTTACTGCAGTTAGCAATAACCTATTGAGAGCATGCATCTGCAGGCACAAGAAATATTTTAAGGTATGCTTATTTTACCTATTTGCAGCTGGAGTTCATAGTGAGAGACATTAGAAGAGCAAAATACCATTTCATTCCTTCCTACAGATGGGGGAATCCAGGCTAGATCAGAATCAGCCTAAAAGTGAGAAAAAACAATTCTCAAAATGACTATGTAATTTTAAACATTTGCATGTTAATGTAGAAATATCAGTAATCAAAATGCTAAGATCAAGTCTTCAAGTTGCAACATTCAAGCTGTTGCTTCTACCATTACACTGAGACTCAGTTTTATGAACTACTTGTTTTGTGTGTGTGTTTGTTTTTAAACTGGTACAAGATTGAGAGTAACACTTTGTTACCTATAGTCTTCTTCCATAGTGAAAGTCTGGAAGTACTCTGGTTACTTTTGCTATTAACATTTTAAGAAGTACCTCTAATAAGATTATTTTTAATATGTACCAGCTTCATATTTAATTCTGCCAGTTAATGTTTCTATTTTTTCCTTACTAGGCATTCATGGATGCTGCTCTCAGATAGCTCTTCTGGTCTGATTGATTCAACTGGTGTACGTAGAATACAGGAGCAGTCCTTAAGAACAGAAATAAGTGAATGTTACTGGAGTTGCTGTAATTTATTAAACGCAGGCATGGGAAAACATCAAAAAGTAACCCTGTAAACAGGAGTTCAGAAAGATTTCTGCTACAAGTCAGTCAAGCAAAAGGTTAAAAACCAGCACAGAACACATACATGGCAGATCTAGGGAGGAGAGGTACTGAACAGTCTCCTTCAGCGAAAGTCAATACCACGATGTTTAAATACCTCAGCACTGTGGAAATCCCCTCAAGCAAGGCATTTCACCAGAAGTTTTTCACATTAAGGTAAGACTTGGTAACAAGGTACAAGAGCTAAAGGCTTTTAAATACAAACTTACCAAACAAGACATGGAACCGCTTTAGATCAGGGGAAAAGACATACACACCCATTTATCCTAGAAAAAATAAAGTAGCAATGTAAAATTGTATATAAACCTGTGATAAATGTCTCTAATCAGAACTGTGAGGCATTCCAGTTGGTTAACACACACACAAAAAAAAACAAAACTACAGCTCTGGGAAAGCCTGCTTCTGTCGAGCCTTTAAGCAGTATATAGATTTCAAACTCCATACTGAGGATATGCAGTATATATTCAAACTCAAGCTTTCCTTTTTTAATTATGGGTTCCTTTTTTTAATTATGGGTTTAGAGGTGTTATTACCACTTCTGAACAGACAATTTAATTGCAAGTTAACTGCATAAGTGCAAAAAGTAAAACTGAATGGAATAATGAATTGCTGTCAGTTTGTAGGAAAAGAAATAATTGTCTGTTGTTTTAAAGGAGCACAGTTCTGCTGGTGAGATCTCGGCCCAGCTCTGTGCAGCTGAACTAGCTCACAAAAGAAAAACCTACCCAGAAGCAACTGCACTTTACATTTCACAAGTGAGAGAGGAAATACTATTGTAAGGGACTTGAGTAAAAAGAAAAAAAGGGGGGGGGAAGAAAAAAAGGGGAGCTAACTCTGATAATTTTCACTCCACTTAGAATACAGAATCAGCATTCAAACACCCTTACGTACCAGAGTAGCCACTCTCAAAGTCCTCCATCAGACTTTATGTCTGATGCTTTGAAAGTCTGAACAGTAAGGAGAGAGAGATATGACTATGTCCAATAAGCATATCAAGTCTTCTGAAGCATAGAAAGGACTAGTTAATCTACTTTAGCTACAAGCAATTCTCCTTCCGTAATGGATCCTACCTGGTGGCTGATGGAAGTCATAAAGTTCCATGTTAATATGCAATTATTGCTTGAAAGTTAACTTTCAAAAGGTGAACTACTATATCAGAAACTGATAATTTTATCAAGGAGCTAAGCTTGATTATATCCCACATTTAGGTATGCTATGTAATCAAGGCAACACTTTTAAAAAGCTAACAAGCTCCCATCCACTGCCTCTCCCAATCCTTAATATTTTTACCCTGAAAGTCTGTTTGAAGAAATACTGTAATTTCTTATTAAAGATAACAAATGGAGACAAAAGGAGATCCTTAATAAGTACTGGGCACCTTCAGAGGATCAGGGCTTGACTTACCCAACTTCACTGAGGAAGTGTGGCAGAGTACAAGAAAAGAATAAATGCAGGTGCTTCAAGATACTGTCCAGCACTGTAATGGCTGCAGCATCCTTCTCCTACCTGGAAAGAGACACCTCATTCCATTATACAAGATAATTTATTCTGTTTCTTGGAATATGAAACCACAAAAGCTAAGGTGAAGAATAGTGGCATAATAGCTATATAAACTGAGTCAAATCCTAGTAGAATTTGTTTAAGGGGGTATCGCCAGCCAACAGAATCACCCATGTTCCACAATTGGGCAAGTAACATTACAAATGTAATATTTTTATTTTTTTATCTAGTTTTAACATTGCTTCCATTTTTAATGCTGTTTTGGATCATGTCCCTACATAAATCTTTTCCCCATTTCCACATTTTTCTTTCTGTACTGCAGGCTTTTGGCTTTGTTTTTTTTTTTGTCCTGCAGATAGTGACGGTATTGCACAGCTGAACTCGCACATTCATTCCAGCCTGGCCAAAGCTTCAAATGCAGTGAGCGATATAGGGGAAAAAGAAAACCCGAAAAACATGCCTTTGAGCCGGAGGAGTGCGAAGGCTCTGGAGCCCAAAGCCCACGTACCGCGAAAGCACGTTACTCCGGTTCTGCTGACGCCGGGCAGCTCGAGTCTACTTAAGTGTTTGGAGCAACGGAGACAGCTCTCGATCGTGTATCTCGAGTTAGATGATCCGTCCGTGGCAGAAGTAACGGAACGCGAGAGGCCGACTCCCCGCGGCTCTCTCAGCAAAGCGCTTCATTGCTCCGTTACACCCGCACTCCGCGGCGAATCCCCTCCTCCCTCGCCAGGCGCCCGTTTATCGTTGCCCCCGCCTCTCCGCTTCCTCCCGCGGCTGCCGGGACCGGGATCCGCCGCCACTCTCCTCAGCCGGCTCTCGGGCTCGGCGTGCTCCGCTTCCCCCTCCCCGGCCCGCCTGGCTTCCCCCGTCGCCGTGCTGAAGGCGCCGCTTGCCGGGAGCCCTGGCGTGCCCGGGAGGCCCTGCAGGGAGGCAGGGCCCGCTCCTACCCGCCACCACCTGAGGTTGGGGTCAGCGGCCGGCGGGCCCGCCGAGCCGATCCGCTAGCCCTGGAACCCCACCCCGCTTCCAGCCCCTGAGGAGCCGCGGGGCGTATCGCGGCCGCCCGCGCCAAGCGGCCCGGCGCATTGTGGGGCTCGTCGATTGCGCCGGCGGGAGGGGGGGCGGGCGGCCCCTCGGCGCCGCGCGGTGAGCTGGGGGCTGTAGTTCGGGAGCTGGAGCCGGGCGGAAGCCATCGGCGTCCTTCCTCAGTCGCTGATTTATTACATGCTGGGCTATCGCCCGTCGGCCTCGGGCAGCGGCGGGAAGGAGGAGCGCCGGAGGAAGCGCGGGGCGGGTAAGAGGTGCTTGGCGGGTAGCTCTGTAGCCCCAGGGATGAGGGAGTGTACTGCCGCCTCTCTACCACACGCGTTAACCCCTTCGGTGCTGCGTCCTTCAGCCGTTCTCCCTCGGGGCCGTTCCCCGCTGGGCCGCGGCACGTCCCACGCTCCCCTGGGGAAATCCTCGGTGCTGTGCCGGCATAAAGAATTCTTGTTCCGTTCGTGTGTTGCAGCTGACGGAGCTATTTTCACGGTGGTAAGGTAGACTGGTAGTACATTAAGCTTTATGCGCTCAATATGTGTGCTTAGATAGGAGTCAGATGCTGGGCTTTGGCTGCGCATGATGGCTGTGGCTGCAGGCGCGGTGGCGGCGTGACCTTCAGCGAGCTCCGGAGTTCCTTCCTGCCTTGGGAGTACCCATGGCCGTATGGGCTGTCCTTGCAGGATTCTGCCTCTTAGGAGGCAAAGCTTGATATTTTAGTTGTGGTCCTGCTTAAATATGGATTTGAGGGCAAGGAGATGTTGGCTTCTGTCAGCTGTTTAATCACATTGTTAGATTCGGATCAGCTGATTAAACTGTAGTAAGACTATCAGTAAATGTCTTCTATCCTGTCAACTGTCCTAGTGAAAAAGTCCTATGTCGTGTTGCGTCCTTGTTGTTTTTTGGTGGTGGTTTTTTTTTTTTTAATGCAATCTTCGGTTGTGAGCTGTTGCATATGTGTTTGGTTTTTGGCTGTTTCAGAGTTACTGTTGACTGATTGCAAGAGTCTGATGCAAATAGTAACTTTTCACACAACATGCTGTTTAGGTTTTCTTTCAGATACTTGTTACCTTTTAAAAGATGTATTTCTGAGTAAAAATAGACTTCTCTTAATTACATTTACACTGAACCTAAATTGGGGGGAAATCGAATACATGGAATTTGTGAGCTGTAGTGGTGGTGTCACCTATTAGAGTTTAGTAATCAGTGTATCAGGTTTCTATTATGAGTATCTGAAAATGTGGCTTAACGAGTAGAGTGTTGGAAAATCAAAGACTTTTCTGATCGTGGTTTGCCTCTAATAATGGGCTTGAATTAGTCTTGTGTAGTAGTAATCTTTCAGGAATGATAAATGTAATTCATTGATTATTTTTGCAAGAAGATACAAAAGTAGCATTTTCACAGAGTTGGTTACAAAAGAAATGACTGATCCTTTTATCTAGTTAGGTTGGTAGTGATACTCTGGTGACTGAGATCTGCGTGGTTTATTCTAGTAAGTACAGAATTGTAATTGAAGACTGAGCACTAGCTGGGGTGTATTTTAAGAAACTTAAACTACTTCCTTGGGTGAATTCAGCTATGCATCAACTGGAAGTATTAATGATTTCAGTTAGCTTAAATGTTATTTTAGTCCACTTCAAGTATATAGAGAACAAGCTTCAACTTCAGCTATATAAGGAACAAGCTTCAACTTTAAAAGAAGCTTCTAACAACCTTTATAATGAAATAATGGCACACCACTTGCCTCAAGAGTATATATTACTTTATTGTACACTCTAGCCAACAAATGCTCAGTTAATGACAGTTCTTTATTTTCTGAAAAAAACCCAAAAGATTGGTTCCCCTGTGATTGTAACATTACTATACGTATACATCATTTCTTGCAGGTTCTTTTTCTCCAGAAGAAAAAATTCTACCTGAAAGAAATCATGTATACCTGTAGCAATGTTATAAGGGTGAAATAGAATTAGGAATTAATAAAACTTGATACAGGTATTTCATGTATGTAGCCTTCATAGTTTCAAAGTTAGACTTCAATTAAGCATATGCTATTTTTACACTGTGTACTAAACATATTGTAAACAACCTCCAAGCATGTAGGCCTTAAAAAGTCTTAACCATCAAGCAGTGGTATTCAACAGTGTACATATATACATAAAGCATATATACATGTAGTTAACAGGTAGTTTTGCCATTTACGGAAAGTATGGGTTATTGCAGATGACCGACAAGGAGAAAAAGTGAGTCTGGCTTGGCATAACTCTGCATAAATAGGATGAAGGAATCTTTTTGGCCAGCTTTATGACCCCCTTGATATTCATCATCCTCTAAGAAGTGTTTGTGGCTTCATCTTTACACTAAACCATACCACCCAAGGCATCATCCAACCTGGTCTTGAACACTGCCAGGGATGGAGCATTCACAACCTCCCTGGGCAACCTATTCCAGTGCCTCACCACCCTAACAGGAAATAATTTCCTCCTTATATCCAATCTAAACTTCCCCTGTTTAAGTTTTAACCCGTTACCCCTTGTCCTATCAGTACAGTCCCTAATGAAGAGTCCCTCCCCAGCATCCCTATAGGCCCCCTTCAGATACTGGAAGGCTGCTATGAGGTCTCCATACAGCCTTCTCTTCTCCAGGCTGAACAGCCCCAACTTTCTCAGCCTGTCTTCATACTAGATGATCTTGAGGTCCTTTCCAACCCTAACTGTTCTATGATTCTATGATTTTTGTTTTGTTTTCTTACAGTTCCTTTCTTATATTTTTTATGTTTTCTTACAGTTTTCTTACAGTTCCTTTCTTCAATTGTGATTGAAGGTCTGTTGCAGGTTTGCTTATGATTATTACACTTGTTATTAGGATTGTCATGGCATACTCTTTTAAGTGATGCTTTTTTTTTTTTCCTTACATGAGAGAAACTCAAGCACTAAGTGGATTTCTGTAGGGATAGTAGTGGCTGAAAATAATAGGTCTGAAGCACACAGCAGGTGTTAATTGTGACAAAGTTTGTGTTCACATAGATTTGTTTTTTGGTATATAGTCCTTTGTCCTTCATCTCATACAATATAGTGTTGAAGGATTTGGCCTCTGCTTCTGAGCACTAGTCATAGGAATGTTTTGGCAGCAACTCAGCATGGTCAGGTTTGCTATGAGAATAGAACCGTTTTATTAACCTTGAAATGCAAAATATGTTTCTTGTTATTAGCTGGCTTGACATTATCCCAATTGTAATAAAAAAGTACTGTGTTAATGACTTGATACTTCTTTTTTTTTTTTCTTTAATTGCATATTTACATAGCAGTAAAATTTGGCATCCCAGGAAAATTGACTCATTCAGTTTCCTTTTGGAAAATGGATGGTGCCTTCTCTCTTAATCATAAGCTAGAATCTTCTTTGCTTTTGAAAATTTGTGTTGGCTGTGGCCTGGTCTCTTGCACCCTGTAATTGTACAGAGAAGCAAATCTAATGTAGTCTTTCCATGTACTTGTGAGAAGTCAACTCATGTGTTGCTGCTCTCAACAAATGGAAAACAGGAGAAATAACAGGATATTTATGTTTGAGTTTTGATGTCCTCAGTATAGATGCCAGTATTCTGGATATGTTTTTAACTTTTTATGCACAAAGAAGTTAATGCATACATTTGTTTGTCTACAGTTTCCAATTGTAAAAGCAACTCATTTCACCTTTCTGATAATTCAAATTTGAATTAGAGCTCTCTAGAGGTAGAATGTCTTCAGAACAGCAGTCTGAAATAAATAGGCACAACTTGAATTGTTCAAAGAGGTAGTTATAAAGATAAGGCAATAATTTTTAAGCTCTTATAGCCATTTCAGTTTCTCTAAGGCTTTACTCAATATTGCTTTTGCAAGTTAATCTTGGATGAGATCTTCTGAGTCACTGAAGGAGAAATTAATAAAATCTCCTGTCATGTGGTCAGGAGAACTTATTTTATCTCTTTGTTATTTTGGTTATGCTTTCATTTTTGTACAGTTTTTATCGGGAGTTTTGTCAGCTCTTGTTACACCATGGGTGAACAGTAAGAATATTGCTTGAGTCGTAAGTGATAGCCCTCCACACTTTAAAAAGTACTTCTTGGTGTGAAGAGGCTCCAGCATTGCCTTTCTTTTTGAGTTTCTCTTTCATTTTCCATGCACTGATGATCTAGCAAAATTCAGAGCAGCTTGGATTCCATGGGGCAAATGCAAAAGGCCAGGGACTAATTCTCACTTCTACAAGGATCTTTTTCTTGAGAGAGCTATAAGTACTCCTGGTTTTAGCTTACTGTTTCAAGCCACATGATAATTGAAATGTTGTTGTGGTTTAAGCCCAGCCAGCAACTAAGTACCACGTGCTGCTCACTCACCCCCAAACACATTCCAAGTGGGATGGGGAGGAGAGTTAGAAAAAGTGTAAATGCCCATGGGTTGAGATAAGAATTATATTATTATAAGAATAATTTAATAAATAAAACCAATAATAATAATAATAGGAAATAAAGAGAGAGCAGGAGAGAAGAAGGAATGAACTCTGCCCACCCCAAGGGAAAAAAAAACTCACAACACAACCCCAAGTGATGCACAGTACAATTGCTCACCACCTCCTGTGATGCCCAGCCAGTGCTCAGTAGCAACCAGGCCTCCCCCAGCCAACTCCCCCTAGTTTATATACCAAGCAATATACTGAGCATGGTTTCTATGGTATGGAATATTCCTCTGGCTATTTCAGTTATGGCTGTGCTCTCTCTTAGCTTCTTGTGCCCCTCCTCATTGACAGAGCATGGAAGACTGAAAAGTCCTTGATCCTTGATAAGCACTGGTTAACAACTAAAACGTTGGTGTGTTATCGGCATTGTTCTCATACTAAAGCCAAAACACAGC